GCTGTCGGCTGTTGAACAGCACCAAACCTCGCGCCCGACAGCTAGTACTGGGGGGGGGGGGGGGAGTTCAAGGCGCACAGAGGAGCTGGCCGCCAGCGTCATAGCCGCTTCCCTTCCCGCGCACGCGGGCTGCGCCGCGCCGCGCCGCGTCGACGAAAGCGGGGCGGACGGCGGCGCTGCGGCCAAACCGGCGTGAGCTCTCTCGCCGGTGCTATAACGAGCGCGCTGCTCCGCCGACCGGCCTGCCGCTGCGGCGCGCCCCTGCAGCTAACAGCTCCCAAATTAGCACCATATAAAGATAAACAAGGATTCAGTACCGGAAGCCGGGAAATACGACATCCTTTCCGTTATGCCGGCCGTCGACGGTGCATTGTGGGAGCGATGGCGGCGCCCGGGGCGGTCCGGGTCGGACACCTCCGACCTCGGAGGCGGCCGGTGCGACCCACCCCCGACCTGGCAGCCAAACAATAGCCCGCCCGCAGCCACCGATGGCTGACTTATCTCATATTAATTCGTTTATATGTTGAGATCATGCAAACAATGTGGTGCCGGTGGCAGGCTGGGGCAGGAGCACAGCCGGCTCGGGCGTCAGTGGCCGGTGTACCGACAGGGAAAAACGCGGCCAGCAGCATGGCGTCGATAACCGCAGACTAGCTACAAGCACTTTTGGCCATCAAATCTTGATGTATCGTCGGTCGAAGTTTCTGAATAGCGACGGGAACGTCAATATAGAAGCAGGTAATCGGTGCCGAAATCGATATCGATGGCGGCGTGACGTCTCCTTCGAGTTGTGCCGGTTCGGGAACGCGTTGGGCTGGATATGCCTGTTGTACTGATAATACGGTGATCAATTCATCGTCTCAATTAGAGTAAATTATGTCGTCTCGGGTATGATTGTATCTGCTCGTTCACTTCGTCTTCAGTTCCTTCTTTTTATGTTTCACATCCGTACGAATTCATCGAAGATTACGTCGGCGTTATAGGCAGCTGAGAGGGAGGCCATTAAGCAGGTGCGCTTCTTGTTTTCTGGCATCTTCCAGCCATCAGTGCTCAGGTGGTCATAATTCCTGCAACATCCACACGGCTGCACGATGGACAAAAGTCAAAGCCCCAGGGACGCCCTCAGTGTTTGTCCCGTGTCGGAGCACGATGCACAAAAGCCGGAGTTTCAGGCCGTTCTGTTTTTGGCTTTGTCTCGTGCTGTGGCGAACCAGCACGAAGACCCATGGAAGCAACCACTTTTGGGAACGCAAAACATATGCATTATTGAGCTCGTGACTGAAGCGTTCCAGATTCGATGCCGGCGCCCTGGATGTGCCGGGTGCACTGGTGCATTGCATGCCCGATTACAGACATACCCGAAACCTGTCCAGCCCGCGGGAGTGGTATGGTATGCGAGGATCGCCGCTGGGACGTCTGGGACATTGTTCCGGCGGGCCGCCATCAATCTGAGTGTTGTGATTGCCCAGGTGCGGGGTGGGAGGGGACGGCAGGACAGGGTGGCGCGGGCAGCTCACGCAGCCAGCCATCAGCTGCCCCCCCCTCCGCTCGCGCGCGCGCGACAAACACACCCACACACACACACAACACCACACACACACAACACACACACACACACACACATACACCAACACACACCACACACACACACACACCACCACACCACACCACACACACACACCACACACACACACACACACACACACACACGACGGGCGATCGGCCGCGCCGATTCTGACGGCCGATCTAACATTGAGTATGCTGTGGGGAGGGGGCATCGACAGGGAATGGTCGTAGCTCTAAGTGGATAATAATTGCGATATTAGAAATGGCCCTCACCCGGCGCCGGCGCCTCATGGCTACACACAAGGCGCTGGCGCCCATTGCCCATTGCCCTTACGGACTCCATGCGTTACTGTCATTGCTTCATAACGTTGGAATATAGACGATCTGCGGGTCGCTGCAGACGTGAACGTTCAACGCCCCGACAAAGGTGGCGTCGTAATCGGTTAGCCCGCTCCGAGCTGTCCTGCATGGCCGGCTGCCACGGCGGCTGGGCCGGGCCGAGGCCGGGCGGGGGGGGGGGGCGGGGCCGGAGCCGGAGCCGGAGCCGGAGCCGGGGCCGGAGCCGGAGCGGACCCGGACCCGGACCCGGACCGGGACCCGGACCCGGACCCGGACCCGGACCCGGACCCGGACCCGAAGCCGGAGCCGGAGCCGGAGGCAGGGCCTGGGCCGGGGCCGGGGCCGGGGCCGTGGTGGAGCGAGATGGGCCCGGCTCGGCCCTGCTCCACCGCCGGCCCATCTGTCACCGGCCGTCCGCAGTCGGCTCACTTATGCCCGGCCGTCACTTGCGGCCTTACCCACATCAAATATTGAGCTGGCGGCGGGCCCAGCCGGCCCCCACGCGACAACGCGACCGGTCGGCCGTAACTAGCCGCCTCGACAGGGCCATTGGGCTCCATTCACCGGGTCACGGACCGCGGCCGGAGCCTGGCGGTGAGCGGGCGTGGCGGCAACACTGCCGCGCCCATCGGGCCGCTCACACGAGCCGAATGGCTACTCCTTTGTAAATAGCCATGCACGGGCAGCATGTGCGTGTCAGATTGGATGCTTGTAGTACTGCGTGGAACAGTATTTTCATTACGTCGCCCCAAAAGCTGATTTCGGGATATCGCACGGTATATTTAGGCGATGAGCAATCATCACATCGGGTGGCAGCCAATGTAGGCTGGAAAACATTGTAGATACAGCCTGGTGGGTGGATCTTCTGCCAACGCTCAGTAGTGAGCGCTTGGCAAAATTAGTTCAGAAATTTGTGCACGCAACACAAGGTATAATAATAATAATACAGTTAATTTTGCACCACTAGTTAGCACATATCTTGACACAGGTTTGCTTGACACGTCAGAGGACCCTATCCGGGGTTAAGACCCAGTTCACGCCTTTGGTGGCGATCACAGATCAACTGACCCAGGTGGGCGATAATGATGTTCCGATCATCTGATCTGCTGACTGCCTGGAGGTCCAATGCAATGAGATCGTACTCATATCGGATATGCACATGTGCTCTGGCAATGATGCCACTAACCCTACTTCGCTTGCACGCAATGCCTTAACAATGCTGTTCTCATTGGACATGAGTCCTTGGTTGAGCATCACCTGCCGACTAGCTACTAGCATGGGACAGGGAAGAAGCTCAAGCTCTTTACACAGGTCGTGGTTCCTTGAAAATTGAGGTAGACACATAAAAATGGGAAGATTGAAATCGTGCAATGTCAAACGCCATCAAACACATTTCGAGCGCCAATGGCGCTCTAAATTGACACTTTTTGCAAAACATTTGAAATGCGCTCCGTGTTGCCGAATTCTGCAATCGTACAATTTTTGTATTTGAATGGATGGCAAATACGTGTGCACGACAAATATGTATGTCAAAGAACTTCAAGTTGTTTCAAAGATTATGACAAATAGCAACCAAAGGTTATATCTTTGACCCATCAAAAAGGCCACACTTACCTTGTGGTGATATTGGTGTCCACATCTGAGGCAACTTTATGTAGGTGGAGAATAAGTACACGCTTCTTGCTAATGCTACGTTTTGCACGACATCGGTGAGCATTAGATGGTATTACAAACCAATTCGGACCCCATCGTCCCTTTCAGCGGTTTTTTAGAGGCTGTAAAGTTGGGATTATTACTTCAAAGACTTCAGGGAGTCGAAGATTACTGCAGTGCCCAATGTGCAAAAGGGATGAACAGTGTTAACACAAACACCGCGGGTAATTTGTGCCTAAATGTCTGAACACGCGGCAGGGAAGCGAGATGGAAATAGCTGTTGAAAGTTGCGAGGAAAAAGGCGAAGGTGCGGCCCCCGGGAGCACCTAACTAGTTGTGTCTTCCGCAACTAAAATCAACACATACCGTTACTGACACCCGCCCGGATGTGTGGGCAGCGACTGATAACCGGTGCTGTGCCTGGAGGCTATTACACGTGCACGACTTCGATGCCGCGGCGGCGCTAGTGAGCCTGGCAGCAGTACAGTTCGCTGCTTCTTCACGACGAACAAAGAACAAAAGATAAAACACCTCCTGCGATGAGGTCTCTGGAAGGTTGTTATTTAAAACAGTGCACATCACAGATTACGAACGTACGGCATATGCGTACATATGTCATGCATCGTCCAGTTTCGGTTTTTACTTCAGGTCTTGTAAGGCAGCTCCGTATAACTAAGCCCGACCTATTTTCAGCTCATGCACCTGTCTCTGGCACCAAATACCCGGTTGAGCCGGATCTTTCTAATCGCCAGCTCTGCAAAAGCCTTTTTTCAACTGTCATTGGAGATAATTTAATTGGCTTTGAAATGCTCAAGCTTCCCTGAACAATTAACTGTGTAGATTATATTTGATTAAGGTGTCAGGCATTTCACCGACACTATTTTGTGAAACAAAATGGTGTGCTTGTTTATGCACAATCAGGCAATAAACACGCTGTGTGCATAAACAGATAACTAAATCAGGCATTGCCCGTGAATGAATGTTTGATGAACTGTCGCGGTTATCGGGTGGCCGCCTTCATGAATCAAAATTGGACCGCTTAACCTCACAACCCCAAACACAAGCACCTAGCTTCAATTGAAAGAAACGCTGCCACCCCCAGAACAGCTCGAAGAGCCGGCAGCCATATGCCACAAACCACAAGCGGGACCGAGCCAGTCAAAAAGAGCGGCGGCCGGCCATCACGGCGAGCCGCTATTTAGACGGACGGCGGTGCCACTGCTCGAGTCGGCGCCGTCCGGAGCCGTGGCGCGGAACAAACGCCATCCATCGTGTGTTCTAGAAACGCGCAAGCACGTTGCCGGCCACCGCAGTACATGGCGTCCGCCCGCCGCCCGGCCGGCTGTCGGTGCGCTGCCGGCGTCCCAGCAGCTTTCTCAGCACAAATGGAAAACAGTTCTATTACCACTGAGGGCGGTGGAGCGTAGCGACGCCTGAGAGGATCACACGGCACGCGGGCGCACGTGGTCACCTGCGTGCAGCGTGCAGGCGCCACCAGTGCGGGCAGGTCCAGCCGCCTCGCGCGACCAGCGCCCGGGCGGCCCGCCGCCGAGCGCGCGCCGGTCGCGATCGGCTGACGCCTGCGAACGCCAGGCGGGCGGCCGGTGGCGCGGCGCGCGCGGCGCGGGTGTGACGGGCGGCCGCCCCCGCACGCAGTGGCCCAGTGACGAGGCCCGGCCCGGCCGAGCCGCGCCCGCGGAGCGCCGGACGTCACGCGCCGGCCGCGTCACACTGCTGACCGCTCGTGTGCGGCGCGCTCTCCCAGCGGAGCCTCGTCGAATGTCCCGACGGGAAGCCATGATCTTTGCCTGGAGGATGCGCTACTCTGCCGGAAACCTCTGAAAACTTCACAATCTGTCGAGCACTTGCAGGGAAATTGACCCATTATGTTGCCGCTCGTTGTTTACAGCTATTGGGCACAATCACTATTCAGTTCAGGCCTTAATATCTCCGCTGTCCATTCTCCGGAACAACATTACCATTAAAAGCGTCGCCGTCGCCGGTCGCGTGCTATTGGCCGACCGGGCCCAGCGGTCGTCCGTGCGCGCACTGTTACCGCAAACGACCCGACCGGCGGTGTAGGTGCAGGACGTGCCGCCGCCACCGCCGTCAGGCGGCGGGGGGGGGGGGGGCAGGTCGGACGGCACCGCGACCCGCCGCCACCGCAGCAGCCCCGGCCGAGCCGGCCACCCAAGTGTCGCTGCAGATGCACAGCGACGGCCTGGGTCCGAGCGCGAGGACGCGGCGCGCCGCCCGACCGTCCGACGCGGCCGTGGTCGGGATATTACCCGTGTGCGCGCGCCGGCCGGCACCTATGATTTCACGGTGGCGCGACGCCGCCGCCGCCGCCGCCTGTCGAACGCAATGCGTCATCATTATACAGAACTATTGAAATTACCCAATTTAAGCGGCCCGAATTCACGCAGGATTGAATCAAACGAGCTGCGCGCCGCCAGTCGGGCACGCATTAATCGGCCTGAGAAGGGGCCTCGCCGACGGCGCCTGGCTGATTCTCAGGACGGCGCCGTCACGTCAGGCGGCCCGGCCGGCTGACAGGCGTCAGTTCGTGACGTGACGGCGCCTGCCTGATTCTCAGGACGGCGCCGTCACGTCGGGCAGACCGGCCGGCTGACAGGCGTCAGCTCGTGACGTGACGGCGCCTGCCTGATTCTGAGGACGGTGCCGTCACATCAGGCGGCCCGGCCGGCTGACTCGCGTCGCGCCTCTCCCTGTCGCACGTCAGCCATCGCCGCTGGCACTACCGGGTCAACCCCGGGTCAGAGGCGACGCTGGGTCGCGCCGCCGACGCGTCGCCAGTGTCGTGACCGGGGAAGGTAGCGCGCCCGCCTGGCCTCCTGGGGGGGGATGGACCTGGGCGAGGGCTTATCGGATTGCCCTTGTAAAGAGTCCGAATGGTGTGCAAGATTTTGTAGCGTGCAACGGGTCGGGAACGGGGAGGCACCCCGAGAGGGTTGGTGACCTAAGACGGCTAAGGCCCATGCAAGGATCAGGGGCCCTGGGAGGATCATAGGCTGGAGAACGTCAGGAGTCTTAAAACAGACAGAATGTCTGGGACGATAAGGGACCTTACGGCAGGCCGAAGTCTGATGTCTAATGTCTAATGTCAATCAAGTCTAACGGCCTTCTGCGACCGGAAAAGGACTCAGACTGCTACAGAGTAGAGACTGTGAATAGGCGATGGTCTCTCTGGGAATACCAAAAGGCCATTCTGGCTGCCACATCCTCATGACTGACATGACCGTCTACCAGAGGTGAAGGACCCGTCTACCAGAGGTGAAGGACCCGTTGTGACTGGCAAGGTTGCCGTGGGACTAATCGGGGCCTCTGTTGCTTGTCAATGGCTCCTTAGAACTGCTGGAACCTTAGGCATGTGAAGAGGCCCTAATGTGACAACCAGCTATTCAAAACGCTTAACCCTCTCCCAAAATAGTGTTTGCATCGGACACTTAGCTGTCATTTACCAGTATATCTCGCCCCTTTACCTCATCTATATTCATATATCCTGCCCTCCCCAGCCCCCTGAAGGTTTAGAGCGGCTAATGGCTGGGTGGACAGCAGCGCGGAGCCGGCCAGCGACGCTAACGACACCCGCACATACGCCGGCAGCCGTCAATGTCATCAATATCGAACAATGACAGTCGGCTTCCTGGCGGCCGCACAATTAGGGGGCGGCGGGGGGAGGGGCGCAGGTCGGTCCCATATTAAACCCGCTCATTACGAGCGCGACCCGCCGCCGGACAGCGAAAGCCCGACTGTGGACACGGAGCTGGGTCTGCAGCAGGCTGTCCGTGTCCGCTCTCTCGGAATGGGGAGGGGGGGGGGGGGCGCAGCAGACCGCACCGTCCGTGCTTGTCTGCTGACGGCACCTGACCGCGTCTGTGCGCTGACCTCCCCCCTCTGCTCGCGAGGGTCAGCCTTCAGCCTGCGTGCGTACTCGGCCGGGCGGTGGCGCCGGAGCACGTCCGTCGGCGGCGGCGCGGCGCCGTTCCCAGCCGTGGTTTTGCGGCGGCGGTGGGTGGGCCGGCGGCCGACGGGGTGGAGACTGGCCAGCCGAACGTTTACCGTGAAACCGACACGGCCCGTGCGGCCGCCGCGACGCGCCGCGCTGTGCCTCTCGGCCGGCCGTCCAGCCGGGGCGCGACTCACCACCACCGCCGCCACCGCCGGCGCCAACACCGCCGCCGCCCGCCCGCCCGCCTGCTTGCCGCTTCCGCTGGCGCCGATAATCGCCGTGTAAATGGCGCCGCCGGCTGCAGTCCCGATCCGCCGCTTAAATGTGCCCGGTAGGGTGGCGACGGCGCGCGCGGCCGGGCGGCGACGGCGGTCACTCGTCTCCTCCCGCCGACCGACGGCGGTCACTCGCCTCCTCCCGCTGACCGGCGGCGGTCACTCGTCTCCTCCCGCGGACCGACTTCGGTCACTCGTCCGCTCCCGCCGACCGACGGCGGTCACTCGTCTCCTCCGGACCGACGGCGGTCGGTCTCGTCTCCTCCCGCCAACCGACGGCGGTCACTCGTCTCCTCCCGCCAACCGACGGCGGTCACGTACTCGTCTCCTCCCGCCGACCGACGGCGGTCACTCGTCTCCTCCCGCCAACCGACGGCGGTCACTCGTCTCCTCCCGCCAACCGACGGCGGTCACTCGTCCCTCCCGCCGACCGACGGCGGTCATCCTCCTCCCGCCAACCGACGGCGGTCACTCGCCTCCCGCCGACCGACGGCGGTCACTCGCCTCTCTCCGCGACCTACGGCGGTCACTCGTCTCCTCCCGCCAACCGGCGGTCACTCGTCTCCTCCCGCCGACCGGCCTCCGGCGGCGGCCCCGCGTGACGCGGCCGCCGCAAGAGGCTTTTACCGGATTGTTGTTTTCTTTCGTGGAGCTGGCACCCGCGAAAGAAACCAGCCGGCACCGCGGTGCCGGCTTGCAACGGTGCGGGGTCAGCGCTCGACCCTTTCCCACGATTCCGATAGGCTGTCGGGCGGCTCGGAGGGAGGCCGGCCCGGGGACGCAGCTGCGTGCGCCGCACACCCGGAAGCGGCGACAAAAGGCACACTGCGCCGCTTACAACCGGTGGTCGCGCTCACCCAAACTGGAAAATATTATTGTCGTGCTCGGCAGACATTAGTAACGTGTCCGTCATCCGATGAAGTGAAATATTTGTGATCATAACGAAGTGTCACTATGTAATAGCGTGCACACACTTGTTGCCCGTTTCCTTGTCACGGCACATGCCTTTACCTATAAATGTCCATCGAATGATGTATGAGGGTGTCTATGCCCATGTTTTCATAGGGATGGAGTGCTTCTTTGGGTAGCGTAAAATGGAGCTACTTTAGCTCGAGACGAAACACATGTTTTCCTATGATATGGTGGACATGCGAACGATTTGAGGATAAAAAGATGGTGTGATCTTGATGTGCAAAGTGTTGTGACACAGCTATTCGTCTTGTCATTTTCTGGAAAAATACATCTTCAATGATAGCTTTTGAAAGTCTAAAGATGGCCTTTTTGGTTTCGCTTCTGGAAATTATCCTGTTGCGTCCCATTTATATAAGTCCATCACGGCACACTTCTCCAAGTAGTCATATTTTGTGTAGCACAAGCCATATTATTTTCCCATAAACCCATTTGAGGAGGCCCCCAGTCAAATGGTGGCATTTTCTACACGGCATTTAATGTAAAGCTGCGTCGAAACGTTTGTATTGAGGTAATGTAGGCTACCTCAATGATGATAGGGTGTGGTCTCACGCATTTATGCTGATATTTCATCCCTGCAAAATCGTTATTCCGTCAATGCAGGACTACATTTTTCCGCATGTTTTGTGATGCAGTAGACTCCTGGAAAGCTTTGAAAAGAGAAAAAACGGAGAACAGATAAAGATAGCTACCGAGCCACTGCATGGGAGCCACCAGCAGTTGGCGAAGTGCACTACGACAACATCCATAAGATTTCAGTCACATCAGGT